ATATCTAGGACTAATCCTAGATAAAACCCTCTTATGGAATGGACATTTGCAAAGAGTTTTACACAAAGGTAGATTATCCTTGTGGACTTGTCGTAGTCTTTGTAGAAAAGGTATAGGAAAGGCCGACAGACTTCAGTTATCAGTAAACTTTCACGAATTCAACAAGTAGCTGGATTGGCAATCTCTGGTATGATAAGCACAACGCCAACTCTAGCAATGGATGTTCTGCTTGGCCTATCTCCTTTGCATTTGCATATCGAGCAAGTGGCTAAAACTACCATTTACAGGTTTAAGCAATATGCTCAAAACTGCTCCGACATGTCCTACCAATGGGCTGCGGAAGACACTATAAGCACTGACATTGTGCTATCAATGCCGTCTGATTTGACGGGATCATTACCAGCGATTAATACTCGATGCCAAATTGTACTGCCTAAACGGCAGTTCTGGATCGAAATCGAAAATTCTCTGGTTCAGGCAGATATTTGTATGTTCACAGATGGATAAAAAACACCGGAAGGGGTCGGGGCAAGCTTACAGCCTGAGTACGTATTGTACTGTATTCCAGGCAGAAAGTATTTGCTATTGACATGTGTCCTAAAATCCTTCTTGAGAGAGGGGTGAAAAGCATGATAGTACGATTTTTCTCAGACAGTCAAGCCGGCTAATTAAAACGCTGTCGGCTCTGGTTAATGACTGTAAAAGAACTTTAAACACACTGTGTTATGATAACAGAGTTTCTCTGATCTCGATCCCAAGTCACTCTGGGGTTAATGGCAATTAAGCGGCAGATGAGCTAGCAGGAGAGGGCAGCGCTAAAGCGTTTGTGGGGCCAGCGACAGCGGTTGGTATATCATTTGCGATGGCCAAACATAGGATTAGACTGTGGGCTGAAGAGAGACTTTGCCTACTGTAGACCAGTTTTGTTGCTCCTGGAATGAGACATGCTAAGTTGTTTATTAACATAACCACTGTAAAACCCGGGAAAATTTTAGAACTTGCTCGTAGCAGCATTAAAGTTCTAATAGGTGTCTTTACTGGGCACTGCCGATTAAAGACAACTCAACTTGTTGGGCCTAGCCGACTATGTGCGGAGGACAAGGAGGCGGTTGAGCATGTTTTATGCTACTAACCTGCTGTTAATCGTAGATTCTCAATTTTTGAGTCGCAGTTTATCAAGAGCATTAGATTGCACGGTGAAATTTGATAATGTTATCTTTCGCGGTACAATACATCTTTAAAGTCGCTGTGCAAAGTCGGTTGGTCCGCCTACCCGATATATAATTTATGTAATGTAATGTAATCATCCACAACCATTTCATCGTCATCTAAAAATAAAATTTAAGAAAATAATTTCTATGTTCATTGCTGCCAGCTAATTTTCTATCGCCTGTCGCAAGTATTTTCTAAGCTTTCTAATCGTTGAAGAAGTAGAAGCAGTAGTTAAAAAAGAAAGTACAAGAAATCTGCTCCTGTTGCTCTTTGTCAAACATTTGTTTCACACCACCTGCTTATTTTAAACATCTTAATAAATGTTTCGTCATTCTTGTGGCATTTTTTGTATATTCAGCAGTATATTTTATTTTTCCATTAAATTTCGAAATTTTATTTTCGAAGTCTTAGAAACGTTGTTCTAGCTTGTTCAATGCTGTATCTTATCTCTTGATCTGGGTTCCATCCCTCATTTATCCTGCATCCCAAGTATCTAAATTGTTTGAGCTGTTCGATGATCGTTCCTACTAACTACCATGAGTTTGGCCTTTCAAACCTCATCTTTGGCGTTTTTCGTTAATCCGGTTTAGTAGGTTTTGCAGATCATGTGCAAATATCACGGTGTCATCCGCATACCACATATAGTTATAGTTGAGAGATAGAACATTTACTTTAATCCCAAAGAGATTATTCCAGATTGACTTGGAAAATGCTCTATCTTCGTACAGGTTGAACAGCATCAGGGACAGGATACACCCTTGGCAAACGCCCTTTTTGATTTCAAAATCCTCAGTTGTTCCAACGTTATTTACTGGGACTTCTACTTTTTGGTGCCAATATACATTACCAATTAGTCTTATATCGTTTGCATGTTATCAGAAGATTGTGTTTAACGTAGTCAAATGCCTTCTTATAGTGGATGAAGCCCATAAAGACTTCCTTTTTTGATCTTGGCAATTTTGCACTTGTCTTTAGAAACTGACCATGGCTTTTCTGGTTACAAATCCGCTTTCAAATCCAAACTGACTGACTCCACTTGCTTCCTCACATTTTTGATAAAATCTTGTGTCTTGCTTTCTTAATTAATTATAAATATCTTACGTAGTTTTATACATTGTAATAAATGTAAATTATATGCTATCGTAATATTACATTTTATTTCAATATGAATTTGGGGCGCCAAAGATGGTTTGTAGCACGTTTCCGTCGTCCAAGAACGTGTTCATACTTGATACATTTTTTTGAAACATGAATGGATCTATTAACATCTCCAAATAAAGTAATGTTTGCAAAATTGAAATAAGAAGTGATACCGAAATGTAGTGATAATAAAAGCTAAATAAAATAAATACACTTACCTGAACGTACTCTAAGACAATACTCAGTCGAACTCGAACTCCTATTCTCAAAATCAACCAATCAGGACAAAGATACAACAAACCTAACCTCAATAAAAAGCGCCGCAGTAAACTGCACGTGTTCGTGTTTTATGATGGCGGAATCAGGTATGAAAAATATTTATTTTTTAATTAAAATCAACACAATTTTGTATTGATCCAAATCGTTTTCTTTGTAGAAACAATAGTCAAAGAGAAGAAGCATAAAAAATCGAAGGATAAACACCTTGGGGAAATCCAAAAATCGCAACATTTCCAGTTGGAAGCTTCAGATAAAATAGTTAAATTAGACACATCTAAATGGCCTTTACTATTAAAGGTACATTAATACATTTACACAAAATAAAAGCTTCATTTAGAAAAAAAAATATATTTTAATGTGATCTGTTTTTATTGTTTCATAGAACTTTGATCATCTCAATGTGAGGACAAGCCATTATACCCCTTTACCCTATGGATCATCACCTTTAAAACGTGATATATCAGAATACATTAAATGTGGTTTTATTAACCTTGATAAACCAAGCAATCCCAGTAGTCATGAGGTGGTTGCATGGATCAAGAGGATTTTAAGAGTTGAAAAAACCGGACATTCAGGAACTTTGGATCCTAAAGTTACAGGTAATTATAAGTTTAGAGTGAAAAGATTTATAAAAATTAATTATTTTGATATTAATAATAATATTTATTTGTGGATCCAAAATATACATTTTAAATGCTTATAGAGAGAGACAAAAAAGAACAAAGTACATTTATGTCACATTGAATACTCATAAAATTAGCTTTAAAATGTTCTTTGTTTCATCTTTATATTTCAATTCGTTCTTGAGATACAACTTTATAAATTCTATTTGTCAAATCTACAATAATCAAACATGCAGAGTTGGGTTTAAAAAGCATAACAACCATGTTTGTGGGAAACAAGAAATTATTTATTGCACATTGAATACTCATAAAATTAGCTTTAAAATGTTCTTTGTTTCATCTTTATATCTCAATTCGTTTTTGAGATACAACCGTTTAAATTCTATTTTTCAAATCTACAATAGGCAAACATGCACAGTTGGGTTTAAAAAATCATAACAACCATGTTTGTGGGAAATAAGAAATTATTTATGGCTCATTGAATACTCATAAAATTAGTTTCAAAACGTTCTTTGTTTCATCTTTATATCTCAATTCGTTCTTGAGATACAACTTTATAAATTCTATTTTTCTATTCTACAATAATCAAACAAGCAGAGTTGGGTTTAAAAAATCATAACAACCATGTTTGTGGGAAATAAGATATTGTTTATGGCACATTGAATACTCATAAAGTTAGCTTTAAAATGTTCTTTGTTTCATCTTTATATCTCAATTCGTTCTTGAGATATAATGTTTAAATTATATTCGTAAATCCACAATAATCAAACATGCAGAGTTGGGTTTAAAAAATCATAACAACCATGTTTGTGGGAAATAAGATATTATTTATGGCACATTGAATACTCATAAAATTAGCTTTAAAATGTTCTTTGTTTCATCTTTATATCTCAATTCGTTCTTGAGATATAATGTTTAAATTATATTCGTAAATCCACAATAATCAAACATGCAGAGTTGGGTTTAAAAAATCATAACAACCATGTTTGTGGGAAATAAGATATTATTTATGGCACATTGAATACTCATAAAATTAGCTTTAAAATGTTCTTTGTTTCATCTTTATATCTCAATTCGTTCTTGAGATACAACTGTTTAAATTCTATTCGTCAAATCTACAATAATCAAAAATGTACAGTTGGGTTTAAAAAATCATAACAACCATGTTTGTAGGAAATAAGAAATTATTTATGGCACATTGAATACTCATAAAATTAGCTTTAAAATGTTCTTTGTTTCATCTTTATATCTCAATTCGTTCTTGATATACAACTTTATAAATTCTATTCCTCAAATCTAAAGCACATTCTATGATTTGATGTTGTCACGACCGACGCCAATGCCACAAAATTCCTTTCAAAAAATTCATATTCAAGGAACTCCGAGTAACAATAGAAACCTCTCAACAGCAGAAATTGCTTTATCAATGTTGCAAACTTGATCCCAGGTAAAAGCGTAACCGTTAAAGGTAATTTATTGCAAAACTGAAGCGCAGTAAAATCTACACCTTTCGGTGACTTAGAGAGTTTGCAAAATTTAGGTTTTAACTTATGATTATTATGGGTTCTGTAGCTGTGTATATCTCTGTGGAGAGTATATTAATTTTCCATTATAAGAGGATAGCCTTTCTTAAAGACGGGATTTACCAATGCTAAATTTAAAGCATTTGGAAAAGTGCTTTCTCTCATGTATTGGTTTATTAATTTTGTTAAAGGCGATGATATTACATCTTTTATCAGCTTTAATATTACAGCATTTAATCCGTATACATCCCTAGAAGTATTTTTAATTAAATAAATAAAGTTTAATTTATTGATTTTCAACAGGTTGTTTAATAGTATGTATCGACAGAGCAACACGTCTCGTAAAATCCCAACAATCGGCAGGAAAAGAATACGTTTCTGTCTTAAAACTTTTCTCAGCAATCGATGGCGGTGTTCCAAAAGTAGTTCAAGCACTCGAAAGACTGCGCGGCGCTTTATTCCAACGACCCCCATTAATATCCGCTGTAAAACGACAACTCAGAGTGCGTACAGTTTACGACAGCAAGTTGTTTGAATTTGATGAAACGAGAAATATGGGTAAGATCCATATCTATATTATTTTATAAAATTAAATATGTTGATTAAATTTAAATTGATGTTTAGCTGTATTTTGGGTAAGTTGTGAAGCTGGATCTTATATCAGAACAATGTGTGTTCATTTGGGTATGATACTTGGTGTTGGTGGTCAAATGGTTGAATTACGTCGTGTTCGTTCTGGTATTCAAACAGAATTAGACAACATGGCAACAATGCATGATATATTAGATGCTCAATGGTTATATGATAATCATAAAGATGAATCATATTTAAGACGTGTTATTAAACCTTTAGAAGGGTTACTTATAAATCACAAAAGAATTATTATGAAAGATAGTTCTGTTAATGCAGTTTGCTATGGTGCTAAAATCCTGTTACCGGGTATTTTACGGTATGACGATAATATCGAATTGAACCAAGAAATTGTTATTGTAACGACAAAAGGTGAAGCTGTCGCTTTAGCTGTAGCATTAATGACCACAGCCACAATTGCCAGTTGTGATCATGGAATTGTGGCGAAAATAAAAAGGGTAATAATGGAACGGGATACATATCCAAGAAAATGGGGTCTTGGACCAAAAGCTAAACAAAAGAAAATGTTAATAGCTAAAGGTCAATTGGATAAATATGGCAAACCAAATGAGAATACCCCAAAAGAATGGTTAAGTGGATATGTTAATTGGGCTGTACCTGAACAAAAAGAAACAAAAGTACCCAAACAAGAAATTGTAGATGATGAAGAAGAGGGTAGTAAAAAACGGAAGGTGAGTGCGACGGAAAATGAAAGTGGTGAAGTTGAAACTACACCAAAAGAAAAAAAGAAAAAGAAAAGGAAGACGGTTGAAGAAGTGAGTGAAGTAGCTGCTGAAGAAACTCCTGCTTCCAGTGAAGAACCGGTAAGATTCTTAAATAATTATTATCCCCATGATTTTGCTTTTCATTCTGGTTTTAGGTTGAAAAAGAGAAAAAGAAGAAGAAAAAGAAAGATAAAAAAAAGGATTTGGATGAATAATCTTGTTTTCTGATTTATTATTTTATCTTAAGCTGTAATAATGTTTCAAAATCAATCTAAAAGAAACAATGGAATAAGAATTAAAAACATTGTTTTTGTTTTTCTTGTAGGTTAATAATTTTATAAGGTATTTTTCTTATTAATTATGTAAAACATTGAAAAAAGTGTATATCTTTTTCACAATAAAAAAGATTATTCTTAAAAATTCAATTTTAATCCTTATAAGTCCTTTCAAAAGTTCTATTTAACATATAAAGAAGCCAACATATTAAATTGCGCGAAAATCAACAATCCGTAAATGTCATATGGTTCTTATTTTACTGCATAAATCTTAATTTGCAAGTCATTTACGATCTTCTTCAAAATATTGCTCAACTGTGTAATAGTTTTTTCACATTATTCTTACAAAAAGGGGTTATCTATTTTACTGAAACTTTATAGGGGATGATCAAAAACGTAATTAATATTTTTAAACGTACTATAAAGGTACTAAAGGCTGCCAAAATGGACCTTATTAGCAAGTATAAAAAAATATATAAATCTTATTTTGGCCCATTTTATCGCTGTACCAAACTGCAACGAAATTGGTACAGCGATAAAATTTGGTATTCCTGACAAGAACGAAACACTAAGTCAATGTTATACAATACCATATACCATACACCATCCCATTTCTGCAACAGTCCATTAACCTTTGCTTCAGAGACTGACTTGGAAATCACACATTAGTTGCAAAACCAAAAAAGCAACGATTGTACTCACCCAATGTCAAAGGGCATATAGTCCCACATGGGTATTAAATCCGAAGGTTACAATGTGGATCTACACTTCTGTGATAAGACCCATGGTAGCTCATGGAGCCATAGTTTGGTGCTCAGCACTGAAACATGCATATAAGGCTAAATTGTTGCAACGGCTGGCCAGCATGTTAATTACGGGCGCCATGAGTTCCACACCCAAGATGGAAACTATGCTGAACGTGCTGCAACTATATGTTTTTATCAGGGAGGTGGCCGTGATGGCGTTGCTTCGATTGCGATCAGTGGATAATGTCTACTGCTCAGGCCAAAATAACTGCAATAAATATAGCGACTAATGTGATCATTGACTTCAAAAAAGTTGGCAGAAACGTTGTAATCTGCATGATAGCTGCCAGGCTATGTTGGCGCATAGTAGCCATCTTTAGTGAAGTCCCCAAAAAAAGTCTAATATTACCATTTAAGTATTATGTATAATAATAATGTTTATTGCCTCAAAAACAAGTATTTCCATAAATATATACATTCATAACAAATATAGACATCAAGGCAAACAGATCAATTTATCGCAATAAGCGATATCTTCCAAGAGACCCAACTGGTAACAGTGTATATGTAATTTTAATTAAATAATTATGGCTACCAAAAAAGTAATGCTAAATGATGTGCTAATAGGACCGAGCGAATGAGCATATTTGAGTTATGTAACGAATCGACATTCAGTTATTATTACAAAGAAATAGACACAAAAAATGCAGTAAAAGATACATGAAAGGCAGACTAGAGAAGAAAACAAACACGTATAGGTCAAGAAGAAGATAGTTGAAGAGATAGCAGATGGCGCCTCAAGGCATTTTTAAAACTTATTAAACTAGCTGCATTGCGCACAACAGCGGGCAAATCGTTCCACAACGCAATCAACTGCACTGTAAAAGATTTGTGGTAGATTTCAGTACTATGGACTGGAAACACGAGTGTAGAGTCCGACATTGATCGAGTGGGCAAGTCATGTGATTCTAAAAAAGTGACAGGCATCGGACAAATAAGCAGGAGTGAGGGTACAACATAGTAAGCATACAAAATGATCTAATACTGTGGCAAGTCATCATCTGCAGGTTGTTACGACATGGAGTAATCTGCTAAAACGTTCCTAAATCAAAAATGTACCGTATACAATTGTTCTGAAGTCTTTCCAAATTGCCCCGAAGGGCTGCGGACAAATCGGGATACGCAGCATCGGCATAATCAATGTGTGGGAAAATGAGAGAATAACAAAGATTACGACGTACAACAGGAGAAAGGTACCAGCGAAGTATGGAAACAGAAGTAAACCCTCTTACAGACTCCCTGAACTTGTGATTCGAAACCAGAATAAAGCCTCAGTTGCAGGGTAGTTAAGGAATTAAATTGTGCCAGCAAAGGGCGAGTGCCAAATGCAATGGCTTGCGTTTTATCTA